GGAGGATGGGTTAGCCTGGTGATGGGTATTGAGGAGGGCACGTTCTGCATGGAGCACTGGGTGTTATGCACAAACAATGAATCATGGAAGACTACATCTAAAACTAATGATGTAATGTATGGGGATTAACATAACAATAAAAAAAAACAAAGAAAAAAATGTCAAATGTTTAAACCCAAGGGTCATTTTTTTTCTGTAAAGTTTTCTAACCTCTGAGATTAAGTTCTTATGTTTTCTTGAACCTCCTTCCACCCTCCTTCCCTCCTAGCACTTAAAACTGTGTTCAGGCCAGTGGTTCTCAAAGTGTGGTCCCAGACCACAGCATGAATATCACTTGGGAACTTGAGAAAATGCCAATTCTTAGACTTTGCTACAGTCCTACTGAATCAGAAACTCAGGGGTGAAATGTACCATCATCTGTTTTAACAAGGCCTTCAAGTGATTTTATTTTAATTTTTTTAAAGATTTTATTTATTTATTTGTCGTAGAGAGAGCACAAGCAGAGGGAGCGGCAGGCAGAGGGAGAAGCAGGTTCCCCGCTGAGCAAGGAGCCCGATGTGACTTGATCCCAGGATCCTGGGATCATGACCTGAGCTGAAGGCAGACACTTAACTGACTAAACCACCTAGGCGTCCCAGCCTTCAAGTGATTTTAATACCCACTAAAGTTTGAGAGCCGTTGCCTTATACTATAGTTGTCAACATTGCTCCTTTATAATGGACCATGGCCACTATAATTTTTTTTTTTTTTTGGCCACTATAATTCTTAAAGAGACTAAAATATTGGAGGTCTTTTTCTTTCCTCATTTTATACCACAGCTGCTTGGGAAGCCCGTACAAAAAGGTCATGTGATATGGACCAACAATAGGATAAAGCTGGGGAACCAATGAGTTATATTTGGTACGTTATCTATGATATGAGTAATGGGCCCTAGCAATTTTTCTCCCATAGTTCATTCTGTGAATGTAAAAGTGGAAATCTTAAACTTGATCATAGTGCAGAAACTTTATAGCTAGAATGTCTTATTACTATTCCAGAAAAATATAATTTAAATTGCCTTGGTAGGACTTTTTGGTGAAGATGAGTGCATTTGGTTACCAAGGTTTTTGAAAGGTTGATTTATTCAGTATAAATATTTAGGCCAGGGTACTGATTCTCTTTTTACCCCATGTCTATATAGATTCTTCACATTCAGCAACTTTGATTTTTTTTGTGTGTGTGGGTGGGCACAGGACTATTACATAGTCAAGATCATGCCTCTCCTAAAGCATCTTATAGTTTATTAATAGTAAATCAGAATGAAGGGGTTAAATGGAGACATAAACCACCTGTTATGGGAGTATGGAAGGAATAGTTAAGACTTTGGGAATCTAGGCAGGCTTTGAGGCAATAACTTTGAAACTTTGTTTTTTAAAAAAACTAAGTATTTTCTGTAAGTTTTTTTTTTTTTTTAAAGCTTTGACCAAATGTTATGTCAAAGGCCAAAAAAAAAGTGGTATTTTAGTTACTGTTGTGCCTTCTTTTAGGGGCTCAGAACCTTTTTTTTTTTAAATATTATTTGAGAACAAGAGAGAGGAGGGGAGGGAGAGTCTTAAGCACTGAGTGTGGAGTCCAACTCTGGGCTTGATCTCACCACCCTAAGACCACGACCTGAGTCGAAATCAAGAGTTGGACGTTTAAGTGGCTGCACCACCCAGGTACCCCTCAAAACTTCTTAAAGTGAACTATGAGTAGATCTGGCATCCATATTTTGAATGACTACTGCCTAATTATTGATGTTTTATCCCTAAGACTAGGATGGCCAACCTGGTTTTTTGTTTATCTCAGGATAATTAACATTCCCCCTTTCATCTCAAGAGTATCCTGGTTTGAAGGAAAAATTATGTAGTCACCCCAATTTTTTTTCTTTAAAGATTTTGTTTATTTATTTAATAGAGAGAGAGAGAGACAGCGAGAGAGGGAACACAAGCAGAGGGAATGGGAGAGGGAGAAGCAGGCTTCCCGCGGAGCAGGGAGCCCGATGCGGGGCTCGATCCCAGGACCCTGGGATCATGACCTGAGCTGAAGGCAGTCGCCTAACCAACTGAGCCACCCAGGCGCCCCTGTAGTCACCCCAGTTAAGACTACATGGCTTTTTAGGGGAAGATTCCATATACTGAAAATATGAGAGAGGAAGACATCTTTATCTTTGGGCCATTTTTCCTAACCTTTTAATTTTCATATACTTTGGTATTAATATACCAAAGTGTAATTTAAAAAATTCAAAATATGTGTAAGGCCTTAGTCAAGAGATAAAAATCTTGTTTATATTATGTAAATCTAAGGGAGCAAGTCAGTAACCCTCCTTTGTACAAAGTATACTAGAATGTGTTAGATACTAAAAGTATCTGGTTTTTCTCCCTTCTGTTTTCTGCTTTAATTGAAGGGGGGAAAAAAGATCATTTGAAAAGGATCTAGAAAATACTTAGGTAGGGATAAGACTTCCTTTTTTTTTTTTTAAGATTTTATTTATTTATTTGACAGAGAGAGAGATCGCGAGAGCAGGAACACAAGCAGGGGGAGTGGGAGAGGGAGAAGCAGGCTTCCCACTGAGAAGGGAGCCCGATGCGGGGCTTGATCCCAGGACCCTGGGATCACGACCTGAGCCCAAGGCAGACGCTTAACGACTGAGCCACCCAGGCGCCCCGGGATAAGACTTCTAAGGGCAAAAGATATCCATTTGATTATAACTTCTACCCTTAATTTTAAGTCTAAATATACCTGAACCAATTGGTAAACTAGCAACAAACCAAGGTCATTATTTTAAAATTAACTAGCTGAAAAAAAAAATTACAGCTTAAGAGGAACAAATTTTGGCCTGTTATAAATTGGGTCTTGGTTCAGTTTAAGTACCAAGTATGTGAATATCTACTACGTGCATAGCACCAGGCTAGCGGTATATGGTATAGCAAATATAAAGTAGCATGTGATTCTGACTTCTCTTGGGAAGGTTTGTGGTATGATTGAGGCTGGACGCCTGGAAGGTTTAAATGTGGTGAGGATTAAGAATTAGACTTAAACAAAACAAAACAAAACAAAACTAGAAAGGGCTTTCAATGGTTTAAGGGCAAGGGATGACATTTTAAAATGAACAGAGTAAAAAGAATAAGGTGTATTTAAGATGGGAGTAAACAGACTTCTAAGAGTTAAGAGGGGAAATTTGGAGACATGCTCCAAACTCAGCTTGTCATAAAAACTGTAGCTTTTGTTCTGTTCCATTTTTTAAAGTAAGCTCCACACCCAATGTGGGGCTTGAACTCACGACCCCGAGATCAAGAGTCACATGCTCTACTGACTGTGCCAGCCAGGTGCCCCCAAAACTGTATCTTTTAATCATGGAAGATGTGTACAAAACTGATTGAAGAAGGTTGATCTGATTGTCATATAGTACATGACTTGGAGGAGGAGAAAAATAATTGGAGGATAAAGAACCTGATTAAGGAATTAGCATAGCACACATGGTAGCTGTATTTCCTCTACTAATAAGGGAAATAGGCACATAAGCCCTCTGGTCTTTCATTTGACAAATGAGGATATGAAAACAAGGAAGAATAAAAACATCCAATGAAGCTT